TCCATCTTCTGGACGTTATCTTCCTCTGAAACAACAGAAATGATGAAAATAAACATCTTATCTTGTGAATTTTGGCTCGTGCCACAGCATCACCGTGACATTGTCCAGTTCTGTGGTTCTTTATTTTATCACGGAGTTTCATTAAGATGAAAAGGTACTGGAACTTTTATTTTCACTGCAGGGTTCAGGAGTTAAAGAACTTCATGTTTTCTTCGCTGCTCTCAAGATGAGGGACTGTTTTCACTGGAGTCTGACCAAAACGATAAAAACGTTACCCGTCAGTGGACCGTCGGTACTGCATGACCGTCACCATCAAGGCATTCACTCACTCATTCATTCACTTTTTTCCTTCGGAAAACTTCCCTACAATTATAGCCTTAGAGGTTTTAGAAGAAAACCAACAAAACCTTTTGTTCAAAGTTTCATTGATGTGGGCACAAAAAACTACAAACACCAGCTCCCACACATTAGTACACGCTCAACATGCAAGAAAGACAAAGGCAGAAGAGTTACATAATTTACAGGAATCTTAATTTACCAGAAATATGGGGCCGCAGTTCAGGGGGAAGTGTGACTAAAGATGTCATAAAGTATGTGGTGTATGTGAAGATATCTACTTAATGTCTGGATCAGTTTGTAGCTTTAAATGTTGGAATTTGGAAACAAAGTGCCTGTTAGAATCACAGATCTATGGTATGTTCCAGGTAGAAAACAAAGCTAAATAATTGTGTTAATAATGAATAAAGCATGAAATAATTCATGGATAGTCATGCAACATACATATATGCTTTAGCTTCTTTTTCTTTTCTTTTTATACTTTTTGTTTGAACAGACCCCAGATTTTTCCTGCAAAAGAACTGACAAAACAAAACAACTGTTAAAAACAGAAGAATGTACAGAGAACTGTAGTCAAAGTCTGTGTCTGTGTCAAAGTCTTTGACATTTCTTTAGGACAAAGCCTGACCTCGTTCTCTGTACGTAGACAAAGAGTGAACATGTGCTTGACTGCTCTGCTCCAGCCTTTGTTGCAGGTATCATTTGTAAAGTGATTTTTTAACAAAATAGTTGAGTTCATTTAGTTAATAAAATTACTCTTTTTCTTATACATTGGTAAATTACAGATTTTAGTGTTAACACTTTTATTTCAATGTTTTCCAAACCTGGATATTTGACAGTATTGTTAACTTTTCTTTCAATTACAAATATATAAAAATGTGAAAGAAATAAAATGTACTACACTTTTTTAGGTTTTGTTCACACCTGTGCATCATGAATGAATGATGAACTTGAAACTATATTATGTTTTAAATCCATAGAACTCCAAGCATGAAAACATAAGGAAACTGTGGAACAATTATTGGACTCTGGCCATGAAGTGGCTTCTGGTTGTATTCCACCAACTGTCCTGACGCTCAGTCCTCACCATACAGACTAATATATTTGTGACCCCTACATTAGGAAAAAGCCCAAAAAAAACAAAAATTTAAAAACCAGTGACCGTTAAGAAGTGTTGTATTTTTTTCCAATAGCTCGAGTCTCTCTTCAAATATTACAACTGCTTGGAGGTGAGAGTGGGCAGGTTATGAATTCTGCTCCAACGGTGGATTCAAACAGTAGACTGGTTGTGTGCAGTATCTATGGCACATGTGTGCGTACACACACACACATACACACACTAGAGAGTCCTCCATGTGAAAGGATTATGTGTCTGGGTGTCAGTGAGTTAATGACACCACTTACTGGGCTAATTCACACTCAGGTTCTTGTGCAGATATGAAAAAAAGGCAACATCGAAGGAAGTCCAACCAACAGAGCATCGGTTGTGTTGGCGAGGCTGCAGTTGAACACTTTCTGGTCCATGTTTGACGTCCTTTGATCCTTCTCCGGGGTCAAAATGGAATTATATCTATAATGTCAACTTTCAGTTTACAATTTGCCGTGTTTGCACATCTGCAGGTCGGAAAGCGAAACTCTCGAAACACTAAATGTTTTTCTACTCAAATGAGCACGAGCTACTTATGGAGTCCACAAATGCCAGAAATGGTAAATGGAAGGAAAGGAGTGGTTGAGTCACGGAGGGAGAGAGTGAGGAGGGGGAGAGAGGGGGGTGATAAAGGGGGCAGGGATTTGAAAGAGACTAAAACAGCAGAGGGCAGAGCCACACACATCTGTCCACTGTGTTTTTATTAAAGCCTGTTGTGTCTCACAGGAAATACCCTCCAATGTTTCCATGAAAATGTTCTTTATGGTTTAAAAAAAATCCAACCAGCTAATAATAAAACCAGAACACTAGGTTGACAGATGAGTCTTAGTTAACCAATTCCCTGCTGCTTTTTTTTTTCTCCAACCCCAGACGATTCCCATAATTAAAAATGAAACCACAGTCTGCTGTTGTCACCACCATTTATCAGCTAAATAATGAGGTTCGTAAAATAAAGGGGGGAAATGTGCTAATATCGGCCGTACCTTGTTTCCATGTGCAGATTCTTCCTGGTGTGTGCGTGGATTTTAACCTCACATTCCAGCCACAGCATTCTGCCATTAAACAACTTGTACTCATGATTCAGATCCTGTGCGCCGCAAACCACAACTGGCCGTGCTGCCAAGCTGCTGCCGTTAATGTGGAGAGTTCACATGCACAGCAGCACAATACACGGAAACCCAAGTCTCCTGAGTGAAATGATATCACCTTTGAATTCAGGAATCACTGCGACTCCAGTTATTGGGAAACAAAAAAACACTTTTTTATGCAATAATCCTCACCAGCTAAAGGGAAAATTCTGTAGACAGGAAACTCTGAGACCTTTGTGGTCATTTGTAAATCATGTTAAAAGGAAATCCACAGCCATCAGCAGCCGTGGCTGCTTCATACTTGGGGAAGCTGTTTGGCGTTAAACATTGAAAGACAGCTGAGGCCTGGGATTTTTTTCTAACTTGGTGTTGGTATAGTGGTGAATCTAAATGAAAGCCTAGAGTCCAGTTAATCTGTCTCAGCGCTGGGGCAACAGGGCACGCCACAGCTCTGCTATCTGACGATCAGTTTTGTGTCGGCAGTTCCACTGAGATACAAACATCCTGTTTGCGGAGAGGGAGAGGGAAAGAAAAAGAGAAATGCCAGTTGGAATTGTCAGTAAATGGACAAGACGACTGACCCCACTCACCGTGCAACAGGTCTTTTTTAAATGGGCAAGTGGAAGGCTTTTTTTTTTTTTTTTTGTAATCATAATTGCAATTTGTATATTTACTGGTACTTTATTTGCTTTAAAACTTGGAAGGAATGTAAGCTGTGATTCACAATAGGGGCAAGAAGAAAAGACATACATTTTCAGCAAAGACAGAAACTGACTTAATGCACTAAAGACAGGCATTTTCCAAAAGCTGGTAAAGTTCTATTACTTTTGCACCGTTTGCAGACAGCCGAAAAGGATGTTTGGAATGTTTGATGCCGTGTTAACCGTTTTTGCAGAACGGTAACGCCCTCTTGTGGAATGTTCTATTAAGTGCCTAACATAACGCACCGAAGTTGTGGACACATTTCTGAGGATTTGACCAACGGTATTATTTGATATTATGATAAATTTCTCCCTAAAGACACTGGGTTAAAGAAAAGCAAAACAAACACAACTGTCTCTCTGACAACGGGTTCACAGAAACAATGTAAAGGCCAGATGACGTTTTCAGAATTCTGTGCAGTTTGAGGTCATGTTTGGTCACATGGTGTAAAATGAGGATGTGGAGCTTTTTGTTTTTAGTTTTTTTTTATTTGTTTGTTTTGTTTTGTTTGGTTTTTTTGTTACTGCGATTGGCTCTGCATGACAAAGTGTGGTGTTCAAGAACATGTGCTCCCATATGACACCTCACACATGTTCTCAGTGTGGAGTGACTAAGGTTTACCTCACCCCATGTCACACTCCTATATAATCGAATGGTAAACAAAGTAATCATTGCATCTACACAACAGATTTATGCATTGAAAATTATTTATTTTAAAGGATTTTAAAGTGTCTTGCTATCAGGAGCATGATGTGAGTTAAAATAATTGTCTTGATAGAACAAAAAGGTACAGAATCTAAAACATTACCACCAACACTTTACCTGACAAACAGTCGTAGCCAACTAGCGAGTGCAGGTGTGAATCACACCAAGCTGTTCAAGTGACCTGTGGTAACGGTGTGAAAAAGTAATCCGTGTATTTCAGTTGGGAACTCAGTGCCCTTGAAATACAAAATAAGAGTATTTGTTTACACACAGCAGTAGTAAAGGTCAACAACTCAACCTCAGAAAACAACAAACTATAAGTTTTTGGAGTTGCTGCAGTTCTGCCCACAATGTGTGCTTCCCATATTTTCCTTCACCCAGATGATCAGGTCAAAAATTGTACTGTTATTGTTTGTTTTTTTTTCAATCAGTTACATTTGCAATGATATTCAAATGGGTGAAATGATGATGGTAAGAAGAGTGTCTACTACCGCATGTCTTATTATAACTCATTATTTTGGCATTGTTCAGGAAGTCTGTATCAGACAGGTAGCTCTTCAAATTGTTAAGTGCCCTTGAAGTAGCTCTAAGTTTCAAAAAGGTTGGAGACCCCTGATATAAACACGTGAAAATTGACCACCGCAAATCCAGGTGTAGGAGACCAATCTCTGCCACCTAGTGACTGGAGGCTTGTTATTATTCAAGCATTACAACAGTGGTTACAGCTCTTATTCCATTGGTGCCATATTGCATTGGAAGCCCCTCACGTCCCCCCTGGCACCTCACCACGCCTCCCCAAGGGGGGCCCGCCCCACTATCTGAGAAGTACTGCGCTAACCCGACAGATATTAAGAAAATATCAGCTTCTGCATTTTTAATTGAGAGATTGAAATTTACAGAACAAAATGAAAACTCCAAACTCCAAACAGCTAATGTACATTTTTATATAGGTGTCATCTGGGGCTATTAATTGGTGTGTTTTTCCTTTGTATGTCCTTATTAACGACGTCCGGTGCCAACAGTCTACAGACGGTGGCCCCCCTGGCAGGGAATTTTGGCTGACTTGAAGTGAGAGGTTGATTCCATTGAGACTTCTGCAGACACCAGCCGGTACAGTATCTATGTATGGTTGGAAGACAGGCCTCTGTAACTTCTCCAGTCCTCACCAGCTTTACTTTGATATTATCTCTGTGGTAACTGTGGAAATTGATGGTACAGTGGTGCTTACAGGTGTCCTTAAAGCAGAGACTAATATTAACAGAGTTCACACAACAGAACTGTCTAAATCAAAAGCATCATGTTAAACAAAAGGGAACCATCTGTTATCTTGTGTAATATAGAATTGTTTATTAAATGAATTAATTATTTTTCAATTAAAACAAATCCTGTTGAGCGGAGACAGCTTTTCTTACTATATAATATAGATATTGATAGATAGATAGATAGATAGATAGATAGATAGATAGACAGATAGATAGATAGATAGATAGATAGATAGATAGATAGATAGATAGATAGATAGATAGATAGATAGATAGATAGATAGATTTTTATCAACATATTGAAGTGAATCTTGATTCTCTGTGTGCTGTGTTTTGTTTGGCTGTGGTCGAACACTGTCACGTGTTGTCATCACACATACCTTTACTCAGCCTCTCGTATCTCCTGAGGAGTGAAAACACTCATTGGCTGAGGACAGAGGTCTGGCCAATACTCAGTCTTTATCTGCATTGGCCATGCTGGTGCTATCCCCTCCCTCACTTACATGAACTCACTCAGCACGAGTCCTACTGTCTGCTGCTGCAACATATGGAACTTTATTTTATTTAATTTTAAGAGGTAGCTCTTCAACAACAGTATTATCTGTTCTGTTTCACTGTTTCTCACACAGTACCTGAGAAAAACACGGTAAAAAAACATGCACAAACCAATGTAGGCTCACGTTGATCTAAAATGTTCTTTTAAATATCGGTCATTTTCCGCCATTTATTGGGACACAATTAGAGAAATGAACAAAAAGGCAAATTTTACTTCAGCTTTATTTATGCTTTAAAATGTTGCTACAAATTTAGAAAAATTAAAGTTTGACAGCGGTTTAAAATTACGTGTTATCTACGGCGTGACTTCAAATGACTGCAGCGGGGAAAAAATAAAATATAATAAGCTTTATTTGTGGGAAAAGAGTGAATATAAGCGAGCAGCCAACTGTAGCACTCGCCGTGTCTGAGTCCTCGTTGTGGCAATAAGCTGTGCACAGAGTAGACCTACAACATCCGGGCAATAGTAGTCAGCTTGCGCAGAAACGGAATGGCGGAGGTAAGTGAACGAAAACGAGGGATAGAATGAAGCGACAGAAACAGAAACTGGACCATTACTAGGGTCCGTGTGGCTCGGTACCAGCACAAGCGGCTGTCGAGTGTGACACCGGCCGGAGAGCGCCGCGTAAAAACAAGCTAGAGCGGTGTTTAAAACGAGAGAAGCGGAGGAAGCCATGGGGAGAGAGAGCCTCTCCAGTCAGCGTATCGCCTCTCTCTCACTCCCTGCCTTCTTGGCTTTAAAGAGCCATTCTCTCTGCCCTGATAGTAAAGCCGTAGAAAACAATAGGCGTCAAAGGCGCTGGTGCTGAACTATTTCAGGTGCGCTCCTCCGCCGACAGACAGGATTGAGTGAAAAAGTTGGCGGAGATGTGACGACTCGACGGCGGTAAACTCCGGCCGTGTGTTTCGGAAATATTGAGAAGTAGTTATTTCCTTCTTCTGCCGCTCGTATTGAGCCGGAGAGAGGAAGAGACGTTCAGCACCAAGTCGCAGGAAAGCGCCCCTGGGTCAGAGCACAGAGTGAAGCCGGAGAAGCAACACAACAAATCTACATTTTCACCGGACCTTTAACTACTTTAGAGCCCTGTAACGTGGTCGGTTAAAGAGCCACGGGTGCCGGCACTTTATTGTGACCCAGGCCGGGTTTGTTTCTATCATCAGAAGTGCAGCTCAAAAGTTTCTGTTTTTCTTTTTTGTGGCCTAACTCTCATGTGTGAAGAAGACACATGTCTTTATCTTTAGGCAGAGAAATAGAAAACCATGGTAAAAAAAGTTACTAGTAAAACTGACCAGACCTCAATCAATTGACCTTTCATTGGTATAACGTGTATTTTGAGTTTAGAAGTCGACTTTAACTCATCTGTGCTGGCATGAAGTAAAATAATTTGATCTTATTACTGCATATTCTTTTATGAAGTCAAAAATGAATCGCTTTTGTGTTTTGAGTGTTTCAAGATTAGGTTTCTTTAATCCAGGGGAATTGATATTGTTTTTGCTTTTACTGCTCAAGATATAAATATTTTACCTGATGGTGTGTTTGCTCACCTGAATATGATGGTAATGTTTCTAAAACACTAACCTTCCCTGGAGTGGCAGGCATGTGGATTTAACTGTAGTTTACACTAGATAATTAATACTAATTTGTCTGTTAACAACAATAAAAGGCTAGTGTTGGTTCTCCTGCCAGCTTGGATGAAATTCCAGAGGTTAATCCAGATATCTGGTTGTGTGTAATTATCTAAGTGTGTATCAGAGACATAGCTGTCTGTATTGGTGTGTAATCGAGCACAAACAAGTAGATTGTTAGATGAAAAGAAAATGTATATTTGATTAATTTTCACAGAATTATGTGATTGTGAAGGAGTCACAATTACAGAGTTGATGAAGTGGAGGAGTTCATGTTCAAAGTGCCGCAGTCTCTAACCTGCCATGAACCATTCACTAACTTCCTAAACAATTTCTATTTTTTAAAGATAGTGGTTAAGAGTCAGCTGATGTCCACCAGGATGAGGCAGGATCAGCCACAGTTTGATCTCATGGTGTTGGACTTTAGGCCACATGTGTGTGCACGTTGTGTTTTTTATTTTGTTTTGTTTTAAATGCTCAAATGTATCATCATGTTTGTGTCTGCAGGTGGAAGTAAAGATGAAGTAAAGATAAGTGCAGAACTTGGGCCTACGTGGCACGTGGATGAGGAAGAGTTATGAACACCCTCACCCATACGGGCAGGAGTATCAACACACTTTAGTTGATCAGTTGACACTGATCTCTCCTCCACCACTGGAAGATGGCAGCACAGGCCCACACAGTAGGTTCAAAGTTCAGCCACATCTACATACATCAAAGCCACAGTGTGTCACTTTTTGTTCTTTTGTGGTTGTTGTTCATTATGACAAGGTCCGGCCATTGTTTGGATCATGTTAGTGGAAAGATCAGGCCTCAATAAAGTCAGATGTTTTGGTGAATTAAAAAACCTTTGACTGTGTTCCCGGTACATACAAGTTTAAGGAAAATGTTCCAATGTTCTCAATGGTACAAACATATTTAACAGTGGGGGTTGCAATGAAATGGGGTATTTTGGGTTGGACAGCATGAATCCATGTATGTGTAGAGGTGTAAATCTGTTAGATTTCTTCAGACTGTGGTTTCTGTACTGATTGGTGCATTTTCACAGAACTCTTCAAACCCTTTTGCCTCTTGATGATGATAAGATCAGAGTTCTGTGGGCTCATTCCATGACTCCTCACTATTCATGACAATGACAATATTTCTTACTGATTTTGGCTAAATGTTTCAGATCATTGTTCTGATTCCTCCATGAATACTAATTTCCTTTCTGTTTTTCTGAGATCATGTCCTTCAGTGCTATGAAAAGAAGAAAGAAAACCTTAATTTTACATCAGGAACAAATTTGTTACTGTTTAAAGGTTGCATCAACAGTACATTTTGAAATCCCTGTCTGCTTTGAAACCTTAGCATGGGCCATGTCTTGGTGAGTCGATCTAACACTTGTGTCTCTTCTTGCTTTGCCTCGGTGTATGTCCTGTGACTTGACATTCCTAGTTAATAATAATAATAATAACGGCACAAAGTCACAGCCATATTTAAGTGAGAATACTGCTGTAGGTTGATGATGCCCCGTTTGGTAACTGACACGGTCTACTGCCATTGATGACATTAGCTCAAATAACTAGCCACAAACTATCGTGGTAATTTTTGCCTGTTCAACCTCAGTGGATTGGTGCAGTGAGCAAATATTTGGTTTTACTTGATCACTGTTGGATACAATGTTTCCATCTTCTCTGACCTAAAATCAGTTTCTGGTTCTGTTTTACTTTGACATGGATTCTCCAGAAATCTGGGACACATCAATGCAACAAAACAAAGTCAAATAGATCAGTGTTTCCCAAACTTTTTTTCTGGGGACCCATATTTTAAAAGTCACAAACCTTTGAGACCCAAGTCAATAGACAAACTCCTGGGAAACATGATGCGAGACGACCTGAAAAAAAAATCCCTTGCAACCCAGTCTTTGGAAAACAATGACTAACAAGAAAAACTTAAAAATATTAACTATTGCACAACTAATTTTGCTGCTTTTATGAATCATCTCTTCTCTCTTCTGGTTTGCAGGCCGGTGATCTTCCTTTGGAGGAGCTGCTGGCTCTGTATGGATATACAATGTCAGATCCAAATAAAGACAACTGTAAAAAGGCTACCAGTCTGCCGGGCATGACACTGGACAAGGTGAGAAAAGAACTGGAGCTCCTTTATCTTAATTCTTCTGTAATACACTCTGTGGGCTCTTTGGTTTAGTTTGCTTGGTTCAGAAGGAGTACTGTTAATTTAGCTTTGTATTTTAATGAATCGCAGTTACAAACTTTAATCGCAATTGATTGCATAAATATCTTGGGAATCACAAAATGTTTCAAGTTAAATTAATGAAAAAGTTGTGTATTGCACACATTTATTTTGTACAGTATATGAACAAATATGGAATAGTATTTGGTTTGTAAACTATTTACCTTATAAGGTGCTTTTCCACAGCAGTACTCCCTTCACACAGTAACTGGTGAAATATTTCTTGAACATCTCAACTTAAATATTAATGTAATCAAACAATATAAAATGACATTGTAATATGTTCATCTTACATGCCTGACACTATGCCTTTATCTGTATAAGCTAATGAAATCCAAAAGTGTAGTACTTTTACATCAGCTAGTGTCAGTGAGCAACAAACTTTTCAAAAAATTATAATGAAAGATTAAAAAAATGCATGATGAAATAATTGTCCGTGTTAATTAATATGTTGGTTAGATAATAACCTGACGGTAGATGGATCTCTGTCTGATATCTGTCGGTCTGCACACTCTATATGTGCAACGTCCACAGCATATGACCAGCACAGATGCTGATTAATGTTGTCGGCTGAATGGCTACAACAGGACGGACCATTGTTTGGGTGTTTTATTGGTAGCCTAGTTGCAGGTTTATTCACCGTGTGAATCACACACCTGGTCCACTCATATGAACCACCTCCAGTCCAGCCTAATCATCAGTTGTTTGCTGTAATTCAATGACAATAAGAGTATGGTTATAGAGCAGCTGAGAGTGACAGCTTGGTCATATATCATGATTTTTAGCAAAGCTGCAAACACACAATGTGAAATCTACCAGGTGAGGAAGAAACCTGCTGTTTTTATCATGTATTACATTACATTACAATACATTTAGCAGATACGTTTATCCAAAGCAACTTACAGTTCAAGGTCCAACAAGGTTGCATGGAAGTTTCTAATGTAATATTGGCTGAAGGTTTGAAGGTCAAACATTTACAACCCTTGGTCTTTAGAGGCAGAGATTGATCCTGACTTCATTATTGTTCACATTAATAATAACAGGCTTCAGTGTTTAGTCTCAAATTTGAATGAGCTGAGATTTGCTGCTGTCATTTCATTGGAGGGCCACATCAGTGTTCCATGTTCAATATAAAAACTTTAGATTTTAAGAAGAAAAAAGTTTTTTTAAATATTGTTTTCTTGGTTCCAACCTTTTCTGTAATGTGGCTGGATCAGTTTCTCCATTTGTAAAACAAATCAAAATGATTTATTTCTTATGGTTTGGTTTTTAAATAAATATAAATCTGAAAAACTTTTTTAAAGAACTCTACATTTTCTCATCAAAGCAGTTACAGACCATATGGCAACATGCTCTCCAACATTTGAGCAGCTTTTCCAGGCCAGAAGAATAAAAACCTCTGCATATTGGTTTTAAATGTATTATATAGAAATAACTTGTTGTTTTAATAATATAAACCATTATTCCATTATTCTGTTCAGGATCAGATCACTGTGGATTTATATCCTGGGGAGGACGAATCAGCTGACGGCCTTCCCCCCTCTGTCACCTCAAACACCTCAGATCTGCTGCGACAACTCCAAGGTAACTGACGCTGAGCTGCTGATTACATATGACTGGTCAACAGAATTGTCTGTGCAATAAAACAAATGTAAATACTGTTCTCGCCTCTCATTCACAGGTTTGTGTTTTTTAAAAGTTATACACTCCAGACAGAACAGTTCATGAATGATTGTTTCTGTTTGCAATCACTGTTGTGCTGAGATCGCAGCCTGTTCCTCATAACTCTGTGATGTATTGTAATAACCTGGCCAGAGCTGGTGTTTTATTAACTTCAGATGTTTCATAAAAAAGTTTGACTTAAATACAGCATTGACTGCTTTATTTGTCTGTTGTCAAAAAAATTGAATAATGTCAATGACACTGGTCTACTGGGATATAGTTGAAGAAATCCAATTATTATTTCTCAGTGAAATGAATGACAGCATTTGTGCAAGATCTACAAAACACTAACCCCAAAAAACAGATTTTTGTCCTTTACTGTTTATTCAGGAGACATGAACTAAAATGATCTTTCTTTAACAGTAGAGGAAACAGTGTTAGGTGTTTTAACATACCAGACTTGTATTTTGACCCTAAATACTGCAGTACAATGTATAGTGGGAAGTATTTGTTTTTACCTTGATATGCAGTTCACACATGTTTTGTTTTGTTGTGTTTTTTCAAGATGGTGATAAAGACACATTAGTCAGCACATCAGATGATGATTCTGATGGTACCTCAGTTCCCTCTAATGAAGAGCACAAGGTATGTTACTGAGAAAATGATGTGACAATTATTACCATAATTGTCACATCACTTTGTTGACTACTGGTTACAGATGTAATGAAGCTATAACCACAGCACTGTCTCACTGTCGATTCAACATGATGTGTATTGTAGAGTTTGGTGTGAATTTGAAGGTAGCTACATTCCTGTTCTCACCAAAGAAGCAAGAGAAAATAATGATTTGTATATATGGGTTTATCAGGTTGTGTAGATCAGCCTGAAGAACCCATTCAATGGAAATGATCTTTGTCATGTTTTGTAGTTGTTTATTTGTGCTGCCAATTAGCACTGTGACTATAATTACTAGTAGTTCTGTTTTACACATGTATCCGTCTGTTATGGCCACAACCTTAAAAAAACAGGATTTCTTTTTACATAATGTATCTCCAATGGTTAGTTTGTTAGTACATACCTAATTTCTTAAAATCAAATATTTAAATAAATTACCTGTACACCTGGAGATTCTCAATAAACCGGGGTCCCTCTGTCTGACCAATGAAATGAAGCCTTCTTTAACCACCCAGTGTCTGAGGTTGACAAAGACCTACGTACAATATAATTTGTTATTATTGGGCACCAGTGATTAGTCAAATAACCAAAACCTTTTTCAAAAACGTGTAAAAATGTCTCATTAGCCCAATCATTTTTTTTTTTTTTAGGAGATCATGGTTGGTTCAATGTACCAGGCAAAAATCCCTCCTCTAAGTCCATTTCCCTACCAGGAGAAAGGTAAAAATATCACAAATGAGGCTAAAAATACAACTTTATTTGTAGCCCAAGGCTTGTATGAATGTTTACATTAATGACATTTCAACCATTTCTTTGCTGCTCCTTTGCTCCTCCAGGCTGCAGCACTGAGGACCAGTTGCTGTGGAAGCCTGGAGTTCTGCCGGTCCAGGAGGTGGAGGAGTTCTTACTAAGTACAAAACGACCACGTGTTGAGAAGGGAGCCGCACATACACTGATGTCGGGGGTAACTGTCCGAGACAACGAACAGGTACAGTCACTTGACATTGCATCTCACGTGACATGGCAACTATGTTAAGTGTGCTGCTGGTGCCGTGGTCTCACTGAAGGTGTCACTGAAATGTTTTCAGTGGAGGGTGTTTTGATTAAACTAAGAAGAGCTGGAAAGAAAATGTATGTGACTAGAGAGAAACTTTAGTCTGGTTATACTGAAATAGTGTCTCATTATTCTTTCTTTATTGTCAGCTGTTTTACAGGCAGAGGCCTTGTAATGTGAATCCAGGTCCACATGATTCTTGTGGACAACATGATTCTATATCATCATCTTTAGTTTCATTTTATATGGTGACTGTTCCAGTGACTGTGCTTCACTGGCCTCCTCTGACCTCACGTCACTGGATATTTGCATGCTCTCCCTGGTGTAGGAGGGTTTTTTTTTCCTACTCCTGTTTCCTTCTACAGTCCAAAAACATGTTGACTGGACACAAAAATGTCCAACGGTATAAATGTGAGAGCTTGTGTTAAATTGATGAGTCCTCACAACCACACAGGCTGCAAACCCAGGATCCTCTGCGTGTTGGGCAGATGTGTAAGACAAGTGTGATAAAGGCTACACTGTAGAACATTAAGACATCCGTATGCATGATAAACTCTGTTGGGCCAAATAAAATGATTTGGCGGGCTGGATTTGACCCACAGGCCTTGAGTTGGACTTACTGTATGTGGTCTAGACAGAGCCTGGACAGCAGAACCTTTGGGATGTTTTAATGTCACATGAGCAGGGAGTGGGTCAGGACAGTCCAAACTTCTGACTTCTGATGTGTGATGTTATTTGGCCGTTCTTTCCTGTTACATTAAATATGGCTGTAGTGTAACAAGAAGAAAAAAGAAGAGAAATACTCAGTGTTTTTGTTTTTTTTCTCCAGGCACTGTATGAGCTAATAAAATGCAACTTTAATACAGAGGAGGCACTGAGACGATTCCACTTTAATGTGAGGGTTTTCAGTGGTAAGTATTTGCCCCTCACTGCAGCTCAACTGCTCATATTTGTCATATTTGTAACATTCAAGCAACCATACATTAAGTCTGCATAAATATCCCTCAGCCAGTTATTTTTTAACTTGATTTTTATTTTATATTTTAACATTGTTCTTTTCTTTTTAACATTGATTCACAGAATGATTGGTATTGGTATGGATGTATAATTGACTAAAAAAGCAAATAGTATCTAAATGTGTACTGCAATCTGAATGACCAATATTAAAAGTGGGCCCTTCCTGTTCTTCCATTCTCCAGGTGCGTTGTACAAAGTTGTAACAACTTTAACACCAGTTATGAGTACACCATAATTTTTTAATCTAGAAAAAGAAAAGAAACAAATAGTTTGCAGTTTTGCTGTTAGCAAGCAAGCTAAACTGACCTTCACCTGTTTGGACATATATATAACATAATACTATGTTTGAAAATATGAATTTAAGAACTTGACTCACTAGACAGGTATGGGAGAACTATCTGAGAGTAGTAAGTTTTTTAAAAGTTAATGTAAATACAGGTCATTCTTTAAATTAACAATCACGACTGTTCTTACTCTATATAATTATAAAATGTGTACACAAATGAGTCTGCATGAAATTTAAATTTAAACATTTTCCTCAGAAAATCAACTGCACTATTTATTCTTTATATTTACTTTTAATTTGCATGTTTTCACTGACATTTTACAGATGTTAAGAATGACTATAATATGGCAGATCAATGCCTACCTGCTGATGGGAAACTATTTGATAGGTTTTGTATTAAAACATATTAGTAACACATGTATTTACTATCACTAATACCTCTGCCTTTTTTGCTCCACTGTAGAAGAGTTATGTTCCTGGAGTGAGGATGAGTGTAGAAACTTTGAGCACGGCTATCGGGTGTACGGGAAAAACTTCCACCTTATTCAGGCTAATAAGGTGAGGACCAAGTCTGGTTACATTTTTTTATTTCAATTTTTTTAGTTTTTGTTTACATCGTCGTACTATTCTGCTGCAGGTACGAACTCGCTCTGTGGGTGAATGTGTGGAATATTACTACATGTGGAAGAAGTCTGAGCGACACGAGTACTTCACTCAACAGACCACCAGGCTCAGCCGCAAGAAGTACAGCCTGCAATCAGGGAGCATGTGAGTGTTAATGGGACAATAAAAAAACGTTGGTCCGTTGGTTTGAGAAATAAATAGCTGCAATATCTGGACTGGAAACACGATTAATTTTTAATGTCAGTTCACTTGAAATGACTTAATGATGAGACTTTTATTAAATACGTAACTTAGGCAGAACAGAGACAATTTATACAATTTAAAAGAAGAAGACGGGCAGAATTCAGAGCCTTAAATTAGTAGGTTCTTTTGGGCCATGTGACACCATGTGACACCATGTGACACCATGTGACACCATGTGACGTCCTCTGTGGGCTGTGAGAAGTTGACAGACTGCTGTTGACACATCTGCCTGCCTGCTGACAGTTGACAGTGTGGTTGTTTACTGCAGGGAGGACGGAGACCAGGACGTGGAGGTTGGGGAGTTGGAAGGAAGCAAGGATTCCACAGACGTGTTGTCTCACAGCTCTGTGGGCAAACCTGAGCAGCTGGAGTCCAAATTACCTCAGGACTTGGACAAACCAGGTAAACCAGGGGTCAGCTGGTACTGAAGTGGACAGTTTCTGGAAGTTAATGCTTGAAACATTATTTGACTATCTCTGATATGCAGCAAAGAAAAGTATTCATAAAATAACCAATTCTGCAAAACAAGAGCCCAAACAAATTTATTTTATTGTGGATGTCAGAAATTAATATGGAAAAATAATATTTCCTTGTTGTTTCAAGTTTTTCCCTGACTGCACCGCTTATATGTACTCCCCTCAGTGAGGTAGTATGTTATATAGGTGGGTAATAACTCTTACAAAATAATTCATATATTAAATAAATTATTGGAATTGAATCATATATTATTTATTATATGAACCTTTTCATCACTAGTGTCTCAACCCACCCACTCTGCTGTGTACAGACCCTGTCTCTGTCCTGCCACTCCGGTCGTTTTCAAAGTTTCAACCCAGTTTTATTGATTTTATGATTTGGTTCCTCAGACTTTTTATTCAGATGATGACATGCTGTGCTTTTTCATTTGGCATCATATATTTTATTTTCTTAATTTTTGTCTTGAATGTTATGTTCCATTTTCCTCATGATCCCATTACTTTTTTTCTGTGTATGCATGTTTGCATGTTTGTCTGTGTGTGTGTGTCTGTGTGTGACTGTGTGTGAACACGTTGTTTATGTTGTCATGGGGGCTCCAGAGGAAGAGGGCCGACCGAGGCGCAGAAGAACTCCTCGCTTTCTCTTAAAGCCATGAGCTCATCCACACATGCCACAGAAAGCAGGCTGGGCCTGTAGGTAAAGACAGTTAGAGATTTGAAACTGAATAATGGCTGACACTTTGAACTGTATGGTAATTTCCATCCAGGTCATTTAGTTTCCCACTGTCCTATGTATTTTTCCTCATTTAATGCATTTGTGGCTCGCATGTTTTGCACATAAGGCACTGTTATAGTCCACAGGAGTATCAAATCAACTGGAATGTACAGTCATATCCTCATTTTCTTAAAACTGAAATAATATGTCTTTTATATAATGCCAAAAGTGCAGCATGGGTAGACAAATAATGTTTCAGACCTAAAGTACCAAGTAAATGAATTAAGCATTTTTATATACCATATTCCTCTTTATGAAACACACAGGTTAAAAGAAAGGTAAATATGTTTTACAGATGCTTTTCATTTCTGTTGAACATCCAGTCACTATATTTAGATTGACAGTAAAATCATTTGATATATTGCACTTCCCAAAAGTCAGTAATGGATTAAGGCAGGCACGGGCAAACATTTGGACTCACGGGCCAAAATTGGTTCTAAAATTGAAGAGGGGGGCAGATAGATGGAGTGTTTGTGTGATATAAGATAAGTGACATATAAAATGCTAAGATGCTTTTAAAATTTTCTACAGCATTTATTGGGGAAACATGGGTATTGCAGGGAATAGGCAGAAGTATAATGATAATATAAATAAATTACTTACTTATTACTTTTACATTTCGAAAAGTTTGGTGGGCTGATCAAAAAGCTGAATGAGCCACATCCGGCCCCCGGGCCTTAGTTTGCCCATGCCTGATACTATAAATGTTTCTGAAACAGAGTAAACGCCTGCTGAAATACAGTGAAATACATGATTGTTTTTTAGTGATGCTCCTGGACATTTCAGTATCAGGAAAAAGTGATGAAAATCTGTAGCTAATGTAAAACATTTACAGCAGGAGAGACATGTCCTCGGGTTACCAACTGTTTAATTTTTAATGTTGTGAACAAAATGAAAAGAGGAACTGGAAGAAAGGCAAAGGTAAAATAACTGGTCTAAAACCATGTCCACACACATGCTATAACGTCCTTGCATTGTTTTGCAGGCATCAGTTGATTAGTAACAGAGCAAATGAAGTTGATCAGTGAAAATTCATACCACGGTGTCCACTGTTTTCCTCCACAACTCTGAACTTTTCTCCACCTGTCCAGACGGTGAGCTGGTGATGGGGCTGTCAGAGCTGTATGAAGACCTACGTCCTCAGCAGCTGTTCAGTGGTCCATTCTCTCTGCAGTCCAAAGAAGACCTGCAGGACCCTGGTCTGGAGACTTGTTGCCCCTCAGCTCCAGACCAGCTCTTGTTTCCTCACTCTGCCCTCCACCCTCAGCTGGTGTGCAGGGGTCCTCAGTGCTGCCATGATGACCACTCTCTTCCAGGCTCCTGCTTTTACCAGTTACACATGCGAGGTGGACCTTTCGTTCCCGAAGACATGGACTGCACGCCCCCTGCTGGCGCAGGTGGCGGCGCTCACGGGCTACAGGTGGAACTAAGCGTGCCATCTTTCTCTCCTCCCTCCTCAACAGTCTTCCCTTCACATTTACAGACCATTGGCAACAGGCTGCAGCCATCCACTTCACAGTGAGATGAAATGGAAAATGAAATGTAATGCAATATTAGAGGTTAGTATGGAAATGTACAACTAGCCTGAAAAGCCCAGGATTGGACGTAAACTGAAGACCGAAGACAGCTGAACCACCCGGGCTAGTCAATGACCTGTTGACCTGAACATTCTGTCCATTATGAAAGTGTTAATTCTTGACTGTCCATCAAACGTTTGAGTTGTTTATTTATGACACAACACAACCTGCAACTGTGCAATGCTGTTGATTGTTATCATGGAAACACAGGTCTGTAGTGACTGCAACAGAAAACCAGTAGCTGTGACTGACGATATGATCAACTGTCTTCTTATTTATCAATACCCACAGGTGTGACTTTTTAAAATGTCTGATGTATACATTCAATGTTATCCTTTCTCAGCTGTCATTGATCCTTGCTCACTCCAGCTTTAAATCTTTGAGATAGACGTCAATGTTTTTTGATGAATCAAGAGCTTTTCAGAACTTTATTTAAAAAATAAAATGAGACCTGCAAGGATACACCAAGAATTTGTAGACCTTTTTAGATTTTCTTTATTTTTTTTCACTGTTAATTTTTTCCAGACTCCCTGTTCTCCTTTTCTATGGATTGTATGAAATTGTATACAGTAAATGTGCAATGTTCTGTCATCATTTTTCCTGTTTATTTATAATATTTCATTGCATGGAAAACATGTTTAAACTGCAGATTAGTCTTAGAATAAAATATTCATGTAAAATGTCCATTGTCATCCAAGTAAATCAGTGATTGACCACTGTGCCGCGGCACATTAATGTGCCCCGAGATGTTGTCAAGGGTACTGTGGATAATTATCCAATTAATTGGTCTGAAAACTTTTTCTATTACTTCTAATGTCTTGTCGATTATACTTCCTCTAGGTGGCGCCAGATGGTTATAAAACCTAAAAGCTCTCAAAGCTGTTGAAGAAATCTTTCTTTCTTCAATTCCTGTGAGTATACTGATGTTGTATTCAACTGAACAGTTTTAACACTTAGTGGATTATGACTACATTGAAACTAGAAGATTGTTATATTTTAATACATTTACTCTTTGTGATGTTTCTGTTTCTGGTGGTGCATCTTGGGATTTTTCTAACATAAACTAAGTGCAGTGAGGTAAATATTTCAGTCATTGAATCCAAATCCAGCAATTATTTTTATCACTCTGGACTGGTGGTAAATCATTGACATCCACAGAATGTCTCTAGGACTGAGGGAGTAAATATAAAATGTACTGTATGTAGTGACAAATGTTAGTGTCCCATATACAACGGAAGCAGAATATTACACCTGGAGATATTTGTGTCTGCAGATCCACAATGATCCTTTTACATTAAGGTTTTATATATGAGAAAATCCCTTGCTAATTTTATTGAATTAGGATTTAAAATTGGAAATGGGATAATTACACCATGGAAACATTGTGAAGCACAGGTAGGTTAGTGTGGGGTTTTTTTTTGTTTTTTTTTAATTATATAATGAAGTGGAAGGGGGAGCGGGAGACTTAGTTACGAGGAGTAATGTAAACTATGTCAAACACCCTGAGATGTGAAATATTCAGTAGGTTGATTTTGTTACACTCGTTTCGTCTTAACAGGTGAAAGAAGTGGGAATAAAATGATGAGAAATGATCTATCTGATTTCTTATAGTAATTATTACAGTGCAATATTGTTATTCTTGTGGAGATTTGCTTCTGTCAGCTTTGTTGTTTCATTTGGTCACCTTAAGAGTTCAGGCCATTTTGTTTTGTAAAGAAAATAAAATCATTAAAATGATCAATTTTGAAATTGAGATATTTTGTTTTTGTGTCTAGATGTTTGCTGAGACCCTGTGTTATAGTTATAGCATTTTTTAAATGCTGTTATTTAATGTTTTTAATCAAACCTATGTCTACATAAGTTAAAAAAAAGTAGTGTCAGTGGTAGTGAAATTATTGTTGGAATAGGAAGTGGAAATCTGTGTCTTTCTCGTCTTAAGCACTAGAGGGCGCTTATGATCCAGGCGTGGATGCAGCGAGGCTTCCAGAGCAACCACATTATAAAGGGAGTAACAGGCTCAACAGGACCGACAGTAACGTACACGAGTGAGGCGTCCAGGTGAGCAGTATCTCATCTGAAAGTGTCTATAATTTAACCCAAATTACTCACATTAACAACATAATTGTCCAAAAGATCTCTACTAATCACAGTATGAGGTGGACTGGACCATGGAGGCCCCTGTCGACATTCTGACCTGACCAGACAGGTCAGAATGTCGAAACTGAAGAAATGAAACACATTTACAGATGTGCACATTCGCTCTTAAAGGCGGTACACTCCAGGTTCGTTTTATTCGTAGAAACACTGAAGACAGGAAGTTGCAGCCAATTCTGTGGAGCAGAAGCAGAAATGTCTTAGTTGAATTGACAAGAATTTGGCGATAGAATATGTATCATGATCCAGTGATCCAGCAAGGTATATATTGTGAATAACTGCAGTATTATAGGCAAAAACAATACATTGAATTGTAGGAAAACTGTCAGCATAAACACAATACTACAGGGATCCTAGAGGGATCTACATTTGTTATTGCTAGAAAATAAATAAAAGCATTTGCAGGATTTTTTTAGGTAAACAAATAAGATTTATCAAGAATAATTATTGATCTTTTATTATTATTATTATTATTATTATTATTATTATGTCAAGCACAGCACAATATGCCACAAATAGTAAAATGGTGTATACCCAACTGGCACTAGGGGACAGAAAAATCCCAGCTTTAATACTCGTGCTGTGGGTGCTATTGGACGCCTTTTATATCTATATGTTTTGTTGTTGTTGTTGTTTTAAATAAATAACAGCAGATTACGTTACCATAAACAGTGGTGTATTTGACAGGATTATATGCTGTGGGATTAGATCTCGTCCTGATCCTGATGTCTGTCAAACAGAATGAAATGATCATTTGTCTAATCAGGCTCTCCAGGCAGCCTGCAAGTGGTGGCCTGCTGATAAGTGCTGTTGGGAAATTTGCCTCCTGCCCTGGGGTAAATGACATTCCGTCTGCAGAGGCAGTCACGCTGCTTTAAAGTCATGTTAATTTTACTACAGTTATTACCTGGTTTACTGTATAACAGTCTCTGTTGTTAAAGGGCTGGGGGTTTTCAACAACAACACCAACATGAAGGTGTTGACCAGTGAGTTTGACTTTAGAATCTGTTTGATGTTTTCACTCTTCCAAAATGCAGTCATTCTCCCAGAGGGGATAAAGATACTGGTACTAAGTACTGGGCTCGAGTGTTTACTCCTAAAGGGGTGATAACAAGACATGCTACATTATAGGGCTAGACCAGGCGTGGGCAAACTTTTTTTTAGGACCCACAATGAGTCCTAAAATTTGACTCATTGGCCGGGTCAGGAGCAGATAGATGGAGTGTTTGTGTGAACAAAAATTACATGTAAGTCATGCATAAAGGCTCAAATGCTTTTAGCCTTTTCTATGCTATCTACCTGGGAAATGCAGACATCGCAGGGAAAAGTTTGGTGGGCCGGATTAACATGCCAAATGGGTCACATTGGGCCTCGGGCCGTAGTTTGCCCAGGTCTGGGCTAGACCATAAAGCATTGGTCCATCTAAAGAAGGTTTTATGAGATGAGGTCAGAGCTTTGACTTCAATTACACTCCATGTTACTGCCACAAAGTTGGTACTGCTTTTGTTTATCCCCCCCCCTTTGCTAAAAGAAAGAGTTTTCAGTAGAGACAAACCAGTGGCATTTATTTGGACTCCTTTAACAAAAAGTAAACAAGTAATCACTAAACATTTCACTCAAACGGAACCCCCCCCCCCTTTGCTAAAAGAAAGAGTTTTCAGTAGAGACAAACCAGTGGCATTTATTTGGACTCCTTTAACAAAAAGTAAACAAGTAATCACTAAACATTTCTGTCAAAGGTTCTCTCTTCAATTCCAGAATTTTCTAAATAAAGTGCACAAATGAGGTAATGGATGAAAATAAATTGATTGGCTGCAGAACTAGCACTAGTTGAGCTGAGGTCGGGGCCAATCATCAATCAAAATCAATCACAGTCCAGTCAATGGGTGCAGTTCTCACTCCTGTGTTGTCCTCGTCCGTCAGTGGAGGACACTGGTGTATGTGCCCTGTTACCATGTCAGTATTCATTTGAAAAGTAATCGTTTGTTTATCTTTGTTTATTATTTTATATTTATGTTTGTCTAAAAAAATCCACATCAATGACAAGAACAAAAAACTACCACCACCTAACCCCTCTTTTAACCCCTTCTTCAGTTACTGACAACAACGCTACAAGCTTTAAGTCGCGTCACCGCCCTCTGCTGGGTGTAAATAATCAGTACAATTTTTTTATATATATACTTTATTTACCAGATGAATGTTTCTTCTTAAGTTCTTGTCAAATGGTTTCATAACATTCTATATTTTTCTTCATTTATTTTGTTTGTTTCTATTGTTATTCAGTGATGACAGTAACTTTCTTCTCTAAGTATTTATTTTGCTTCGTTACTAAAGTATTTTTAAACCTGGAATCCAGGCTTGTTTACTGTCCACTGGCGCCCTCCATTGGTGTTACCTTTTATGAAGTTTAGGTTTGTTATAAAGAAATAATAGAAAAGTTGGGTTCAAATACAACGGGAGGACAAACATTGGGACAGACAGGACATTAAAGCAGAGTGTCTGGCTCTGACAGACAGACAGGGAGCGCTGCAGCCAGAGGAGGAAGTTGGAAGGAGGGACCAGTTCATGCTGCTGCTGCCGCCGCTGCTGCTGTGGCGTGGTCCCTGCGCCTGAGAGGAGAAGGAAGGACTGTGGACTCTAACTGTGTGGAACCCGGGGACCCAGGCACTTTAGCCCCGGGCGGGAAGGGGGAACGCACCGGTGCTCCAGTGTTGCTGCCTAAACGCTTTGTCAGTATTTTTTTTAAATCAGACTTTAGTTTTGACAAAGTTGAACAACTGTGCTGTCAATGTCAGCACAGGTAGAGAAGTGGATCCCGGAAGAAGAACGCGGTGTGCAGGTTACCAGGTTGTTTGTGCAGCCTTCACGCGCCTGTTCCTAAAGGTGTTTTTTTTTTTTTTTGTCTCGGTTTGTAACAAACTTTTAAGCGCGAGAGAAGATGAAGGAGCTGAGGAAGAAGAAGCTGTTCGTCCTGGTGGATGTCCTCTGCGTTTTGGTTGGTAAGTTAAAACAAACAAGTGAAAAAAAGTATTTTATTTTACTAACAATTCAACAGCTGTCAACAATGTCCTAACCAGGCGTTTGTCAACAATGACGTCGTGGTTAGTTTATTTGAAAACATATTTAGATTCGTGTGACATTTATTGGCATCTGACAGGAGCTAATAATTATTGTTGCTAGTACAATGACGGTAATATCGTGTTTTCACAATTAGTATCGTGTGTGAACGACATATTTTGTTTTCTTATCTAATGCTACCAACGGTAAACAATTAACCTTTAGTCATTTTTGGAAAAGAATATATTATTTAAATTGATAAAGTTGAAATATCTGTGTTTTGGGGCGGAATTTCAGGATTGTTTATATTTTTTCTCTGTTTTCTCCTTATCTAATGCCTTAAAAAGAGTTTTCACAAAATATAAGAAATTAAGGAAACCACTCCATGTTTTTGTCAGATGACAAAAAAAAATATATCAGATATTTTTTTAATAAATCTATTTATACATCTATATCTATCAAATCAATTATTAAATCAATAAATAATTACAATTGAATCATTTTATTAGTGCACCCCACTAAAGAACCATAAAATATTGAACACATAATATAACATTACCACCTGACATACTGTTAAAAACACATGGTTGAATTCACTTTTTAAAACTAAGTGGAATAACAATCATTATATACTCTAAGCTCCCATCCAGTCATAATCTCAATGTGCCCTTGTTGAAAACAATGTCTGTACAATGTCAAAGTTGAGTCTTTTTAGTTGCAATTTGCAAAAGAAAAATCAACATGGAGACAAAATGCTCAGCCTGTATTTAACTGTAAAAATAATCATTGTCCTAAAATGTTCCTAGAACAATCCTTATTTGCATGAACTCTCTCTGTTTTTTTCTCCTCTTCTCACACGTCTAATTGTAAAAAGTTCAGCTGAGGTAACTACGCTTCCATCCACAGCTCCTTCACCAGTGCAGCCACAATCTGCAGGGCTGTCTGTGCTGGAGTATTGTCCAAGCTCAAATCTGACTCCAGCATGTGTCCCAGTGAAGCACAACAGGAAATATCTCCCTCATTCTCCCCACAGCTTCAGTGCACAGCCCGGCCCACTCACCTCAGACTTTAGCAAGACTTTACAGAGCCCCAGGAAACTGAATGTTTGTTTATGGAAATTTGATATGCATGTGTGAGCACCATTTATTTCTCATTTTTGTCTGCCAGCAGCGTGCAGACTTCCCACATTCACTGCATTTCTGAATATATAACTTCCATTCATTTCCCCAACTTTTGCACCCACAGAAACAGATTTCTGTGTTGTATTTATGATCTGCAGGATTTGAGGAACTGGTGTTGGATTCTGGAAATGTGATTGCTGTATTAGAACAACTGAGTTGGCTGAAGATGCATTTTTAATTATAGGCACACTTGTGGAATTTACTGTTAATACCATTGACAGATGCATTGCATAATGTTGCGGTGTCTAGTGAGCAGAGCCAGTCTCCTGTTATGTCTGTGTGGTTGATGGTTGAAGAGGATGCATGCACCGATCTGCTCTGCGGTGCAGCGGTACAAGGTCACTGAGCATCTGAGAGTAGCTTAGGCGTATTTTCTTTTCCACCGTGGGAACATCAGCAGACTGCTGCAGTTGATAAGCCTAACCATTTTACCGTCACAAGTGTGGGATTAACGTCTGGGTTTTGGTCGTCGGGTCTGGATGGCTGAATCCCACCCTTCTGCCTCTCCCTTCCCAGATGCCACCCACGTTTCCCATCCGAAAAATCATCGAGTCAACCCCAAGCTTATATGAGGTTGCCCCAGCCATGTTACGTCAACATGGTGCAGCTTGTAATTACGCTGCCCATTTGCCTCAATGAAAACATATTTCTGACTTATTTTGTCTGCAGCCCGACTGCTGGCATTCCTAATGTTTAAAAAAATTGTATTCAGATCACAGTTGTATTGCTGTGATGTGCTGAAAAAAATATATAATATATGTATATATATTTATTTATTTTCCTCCATTTTCTAACCACTAACCTTAAGCATTCGTGTTCCATTTCCACTATTACACCTCAAGCCTCTCTGGTCTGTTTTATAAACTTGAGAGAAAGAAATCCAAGTGATTCTATTGGCCGAACCAAGACTTGAAAAGTTCACGACACTGTTGTTCAGTGACCAGGAACTGAAAATTATATCAGAATTTCCTGATAGAATTAGCACTGTACGTCAAAATTAGATTTTTATTATTGTATTATTCAGGCAGATAATGTCGGTTTAGTGTAAGTTAACACCAGTTTGTGTGTGATGAGTCTGACTGTAACTTGGCCCGGCGTTTTGTTCATGCTCCACCAATCCCCACCCAGGCTTTGAACTGGAAGAACTAGAAGAAAATGTTGAATAACACTGATGGCTCTGACGTTCAGTGGGAGTTCACACAAAGGGAAGTTTGGATTTGAATCCAACTGCATCAACTGGATAATTTGCTGGCGACAAACGGCCTGTCCTGCGCCCAGATAAACGAGGGACGGTAGCCTCAAGAACAGCTTACAACAAAGAAAAACCCAACACTACAAAATATGATGACCTGCTGTGTCAACACCAAACGAAATAAGAAATGGTATGATTCCTCTGATGTCGTAACATAGAGGTGGTTGTGGTGACGGTAAAGTCATCGCATCATAGCAGCATTTGCCAAAAACAATCACCAATGTCTGTGAGGCTAATAATTGAGCTAAATATTGGTTTAAAAAAATCTGAAAAGGAAATTAATTTGATTTTATATATATTTCATTTTTCATTATACAAATAATATGTATAATTATATATTTTTTTCAGTATAAATATAAAAACATATATATATAAATAGAGAGATATATGTTTCAGATGCTAAGCATTTTGCTTTTCATCTTCTGCAACAAATGTTTGTCTTTTAGTCTCTGGTGTTGTCTGATTGTTATTTTATTTATTTTATGAAGGCAGTTTATCTGTGTGGTCTCTTCTACAGTCTGGTGTTAATCAGTCAACCTCAACCTCTCTCTGCGCTGCTCAGTGTAAATTTGCACTCAGTACAAATGGATGGTGGGTGTTGGCTCGTGGAACAAAGAAAAAACCGTGGATTAGCCATTCTCCGCCCCAAGATTGTATTCATAGGTGCAGCATTGCCAGAGTGTGAGGCGTTCAACTCTTGGAGAACTCAAGTGTTTCTGTTTGTAAAATGAATGGCATTTAGTTGCCTTCTGTGAGTAATTTGCACAACACTCCATGTGGCGTGACAGTGGATGACACTGAGGCACTCTAATCTGTGTACATTCTTGTGCCTCTGTGTACAGTCTCTGTGTTAGGCTGTTGACTGGGTTACACTGTGACAAACCAGTTTTGCTGACATTATCTGTAACTTCTCAAATACCTGCTGAAAGTATTTGAAATACATCATGTTTTTTGTATTTTTTAAAATATATCATTACTGAAAAGAGCTCAGACTTGATACAAAATGTCCTAGCTTATGAGATTAGTTAATAGTTATCAAAATGGGGAGCGGGGTTTCCCCCAAGAGGAGTGGAGCTGTTGCTGGGGGACGCAGTAGGACAACATAATTTCAATTTCTTTATCCTCTTTATTTTTCCAGATTAGGGAAATAATGATACAATGATTTGTCATTTAGTTTCTGAAATAGGAGTATGGGAGGGCACAGTACACCTAAGATAAGTGCATTAGTCAGCAGAAACAGATGAGAATTTGTCAGATTCTTCCTCCAACACAGACATCAAAAATGACTCTGTTGTTCCTGGTACTCTCATAAAGAGCCATTGTCAGTGTGCTGGTACTTGTTTTTCCGTCCCGTTGCACTGATTTCACACAGTTTTAATCTCCGTGTTTCGTTCTTTGGCTTCACTTGGTGTTGGTTTGTTTCCAAGTTCAAATATGCAGCAGAGTCTCCGGGGAGCTGGGCCTCCCATGTGGTTCTGTTGAAGATGGATTGTGCTGAGTTCTCAAACGTGAGCAGTGAAGTGACTTGATGGGAATTGTTTCCCCTGGAGAGCTGTGTCATGGAAACTGACCCCTTCTAAACAAACAGAACCAGAAATCCTCAGAGAGCTTTGACTTTATTTTTGTTCTTTATTTTCGCTGTTTATTTGGATTTGTGTATTTTGGAGGTTTATTTGGGTGGGGGGAGTATCGGAGGGGACGGATGACTGACAAAATGTGACTAATATAAGATGTTTTTAGGGAAAATGCAGAAACATTTTTAGGGAGAGAGCAGGGGTTCTCAAGGTGTGGGCGGCGGTTGCCCTCGTGGGCGCCATTGAGGATGAAAATATCCGATAGCATGTAATACAGAACCTCTATAAGGAAAAAAAAAATAATGTTCAAAAACTAGACACCTCAGATTTTTACAGCATGAACAATTGTCCTCTTGTTTGTTTGGTGGCTACATAGTGCTAAGCTAATGCACAGTGTTGATGTTAACACGTTAATGAAACAAGATGTCTATAGTTCTGAACAGGCTGGACTTTTCCTCTACATAAGCATTAGTTCAACATTTATCTGTCTTATGGTCTTCTGCTTCATGTCTGATACGTAAACCTTCACTGACCCCTGTGTCCTGCAGGTGGACATGACAGGTGTTTACAGTTGCCATCCAAAGGCCAAATACGTATATACTCCAAAGTACTTTAGGTGCTGTAGGTGCATCTGAAGAACAGAGGTATTGGATATTTTATTTTTCAAGTTCTGACTGATTGTTGAAATATTACATCTGAGGGTGAAATGATTTAGGAATTTGGCCTTTTTTAATCAACCTTTTGATTCACATACTCTGATATCAGATTGTATAGGCTATAAATTAGTTTCTGTGTGGGGATTAATTGTACATTATTCCTCACTGGGTTGCACAAATATCTAGAGCCATGTAATCATTTCATCAAACATTGTAGGTTTTAATCTGACTCTGGTTGTGAGTCATGTTGACCTCCTGGTGACTTTGCTGGTTGCTGTT